CAGCTTTTACAAAAGTTGGAGGATTTGCTGCCCTGCAAGAGAAATATATGGCTGCTGTGGGGGAACATGTGCCAAATAGTACTTGTGGGATTCCCAGGGAAGACTCATGGGTGATGTTGAGGGACCCGGTGAACTCTGACATGCCCTGGCCTGGGTTCTTGTTGGGCCAAACCCCAGCATCCATTTGGTACTGGTGTTCTGATCAAGTAAGTGTGATTATGGTGAAAGACAAAGCAGTATGGTATTACGCATGATTGTTTTTTTTTATTGAGTTTGATTTTCTTTGATGCTGCAAAGATGTCCACAGGTGGACTTTCTCTAAAAAAATGTCTTGTCTACTACAATTTTCTAGGAATAGTGAATTTTGTGTGGCCCCTTAGGGTTCTTACCCCATGTTATGCTCTACAATGAAATTCTCTCTAAAAATTTGTCTTGGTCACTTTGGAAAATTATAAATATGGATGAACTCCTTATGCAGAACTAAAATCTTGTCTACTAATGTTATCTCTGTGTAACTATATTTTGGTCCCATGAGGTGTTCTCTCCATGTTATAGGGTTTCTCTGTGACAAAATTTATATTTTATTATTGTCCAATAAATTTTGTTGTAGAGAGAGTCCTTGTACTAAAGATGTGCTAATTTTTTGAAAATTTTATTGAAGTGCTGATGCAAAATCAGAATTATATGATAAGTGCCTGCTCATATTTTGCCAAATTTTAAATGTACCATTTTTCCTCATACATCACACACACACACTCCCCTCATTTTGGCAAAGATGAGTGCTCATCATTGAGATGAAAGAAAATTCTGAGGTTTTATGGGACATTTTCCCCAGTTTTCCTGCTTACTTAAACACTAAATGAAGAAATAATAGGTATGATGTGAAATATTGTACTGCGACATCTCTTTTTTTTCTGTTGAAGGTGAACAGACTAACCACAGTTTTTATTGTATTTCAGATGATGGTGCAGAGGGCGCTGGCAGCCGAGAGTTTATCCCATGCTCAAGGAGGAACGTTGTTCGCGGGTTTTGCCAAAATTCTGCCAGTTTTTTTGATGGTGTTGCCTGGGATGATCAGTAGGGTCTTGTACACAGACTTGGTGGCCTGTTCCACAAAGGAGACTTGCATGGCTGCCTGTGGTAGTGAAGTTTCATGCACCAACATGGCCTACCCGAAACTGGTGTTGGATCTCATGCCTGTTGGTGAGTGTCCTGCATTTTTCAAGATATGGAGCCTGTTGAATGCTTCTTTTTTATGCGTGGACTCCTTGATAAATTGTATTTTTTCCAGGTTTGCGAGGATTGATGATGGCAGTGATGTTGGCAGCTCTTACCTCAGACCTCACTTCAATTTTCAATTCTGCGTCCACGCTTTTCACCATCGACATTTGGAAGAGAGTGAAGAAGCGGGCAACGAGTAGAGAGCTTTTATTGGTTGGCAGGTTTGTCAAAACTTGGATAGATTTTTTTTCTCAAGTGCAGAAATTTATTTTGAAAGAGTATTATACAGTGAGACCCCAATACAGTATGTGGACACCCCAGCATACGGACACTTTGACTTGGGGACACTTGAAAACCAAGAAAAAAAGCAGGCCCAACATCTGGACATCGTCTCACATTAGGGACACTTTTCTGAAATTTTCCCAAAAAATTTAATCATTTTATTTTCTAATTTGCTATCTTTCAAAGAAATCAAGCTATTTATATTCAAAAAAATATTCCATGATAAATTCACTCTAATCCATCATCAAAAGCAAGCTGATTTTGTGCTTCTTTTCTTAGAGATTTTTTTTATCATCTGTGCATATTCTAGCAAGACTTATTCTTTTTCTTTGCTTTTTATTGATCTCCTTTTGATACCAGAAGATCAAATTTATGTTGTTTACAGTAATTTTTTTATCAAAAAGGATAACCAATTAAATATATCAGCATTGAAGTCTAAGGAAAAATGAGACTTGACTTAGGGACATTCCAACATCAGGACAATCTAGATGCATCAATCATGTCTGCATGTGGGGTCTAACTGTATGTTTTACTTCAACGAGTTGCAGAATTATCAAGTGCAGTACAGCAGTTACCTCAACTTTCTGCTTATCCCAGAGCAAACAAGTGTTTTTGAACTCAAGACTTTTTTGTTTTCATTTTTTATTGATGGCGCGCAGGGTTGGGACGAGGAATCTTTCATTTTACTTTAACTAGCCACTAAAACTTCGAACTCATGCGAATAATTCAATCAAATTTAACTTGGTTTCTGCAAAGTTCGGACTAATACATAAGATGTGTGAAAATTTTGTCGATTTTTTTTTTGGGAAACGCCGCATTTAGTGATTTTAAAAGGAAGAAAAGCTTCACTCGTTTAAAAAAAATTCCTCATTTTTCGATTGCGTTTTGTGATCACTAATTTCTAAAGTAGTCTCTTTCTTCTTCTTCTGCGTAAGTGCAGGTTGTTTGTAGTGCTGATGGTAGCAGTTTCCGTCCTGTGGATCCCTATCATCGAGTCGCTGCAGGGGGGACAGCTCTACNGGGGACAGCTCTACATCTACATCCAGTCCATTGCTGCTGCATTGGCCCCGCCGATTGCGGCGGTTTACTGTCTGGCCATTTCCTGGACTCGGATGAACGAGAAAGGCGCCTTTTGGGGCCTGGTGCTGGGGCTGGCCATAGGACTAGTCAGGATGGCGCTTGAGGTGGTCTACCCGGAACCACGGTGCTATGAAGTGGACACACGACCTGCCATTCTTGCACAGGTGAGATCCCAGAGAATTTTGTGTGTTCATTTGACGTTGATGAGGTGATTTAACTACCGCAATGCAATAGAATCTTAATACAGTCAAACCTCTCTTGAGTCAAACTTTGAGGGACCAGCAAAACAATTTGACTTCGGGAGGTTTCAAGTTAGAGAGGTTTTGAATTATAAAGGTTTGAGCTGCAGTAAAATGCCCTTTTTTCTGGAAAACTTAGAAAAACTGCCCAACATTGTAAATAGTGATATTCTGGTACTTCATTGGTTTTTAAATAAGTTCACAGGATGCTGTACTTCAAGGCAGGGGTTCATTTGCAAAATTCACCTCTTTTAAAACACCTTAACTTATGTTTTTATTGTTTTTTTCTTTCTTGAACCAAAAAAATAATGGCCAACAGGCCACAGAAAATTTGACTTTTGGAGGTTTGAGGGTAAAAGCATTTGACTTAGGGAGGTTTGTTAGGCATTGCTTCTATGGGGATTCAGATGGGGGACCTGGAAAAAATTTGAATTAGGGGGGGTTTTGACTTTGGGAGGTTTGAGTTATAGAGATTTGCCTGTACAATGAACCTTATTATACTGTATTGAATGATTGCTTACAACAAAGTCATTTTCAAGGTCCTTGCCCAACAGCCACAATGTTTAATGATTTACTTGAGTGTGGCTAGTACAGGTGGTACCTTGCAATTCAACCCTAATTCATTGTTGGGCTTGGATCAGATTGCAAGACACTTCATAAAATGGAGAAATATCAGCAGTGGCTAAAGTATGTCCAATTCCAGGACAGAGGCCAATCTCCCTGAAAAAATGCATTTGGATGTAACTCCATGCCATTTTTATTTCATAAATTGTATGATTATAATTCACAAATGCATCAGGAAAACCAACTCAATGAATGTAGATAAAGTTGCTAGTATGGAAGAAACTTGTCCCAGTTACACGCGTCTTTTAATGATTTCTTGGCATGTCAAAAACGTACATCATCTTCCTTGCATTGATGTACATTACTTGCTTTTTCAGGTGCACTACATGTATTTTGCCACAATACTTTTCTGGGTGACGATTGGGGCTTGTGTGTCCGTGTCACTCATAACAAAACCTCCCGAAGCCTTTCGGGTAAGTTGAAACTTGAAATTGAATTTTGTTGGATGGAAGTTTTTCAAATATTTGCCAACCGTGTTCAGATCATCCGGACAACGTATTGGACCCGGTTTGACAAAACACCTCGTCCAGATGATTGCGAACGCGTGGAAATTGAAACCATCGCCCCCGTCGAACGTGGCGACGGCGGATTTCAGCTCAACCGTTTGGAAGATGGCTTTGAATCCGGCAAGAAGAAGAAGAAGACAAAGAAAAACAGGAAGTTGGCGAATTCCGAGGAGTCTTCTTCGTCGTTGATCAGCAAAGCCTTCGAATGGATTTGCGGTTTCCACGAAGATCCGATCGCTGCTGCAGCTGGTGAAGATGAAGACGCCAATGCCTTGTTGCATCACTTGGATTCCGTCGCGTCTTTGGAGCAGACGAGCAGAGAAAAGCTTTTCCTCAACTCGTGTCTTTGCGTCATCATGGCACTGACGGTGTTTCTCTTCATTTTCTTTTCGGTTCCGTCGCCGGTGACGAATCCCTCGTTTCAGCGAATGGCCACTTCCGGTTCCGGTGGGTGACGACGACAAAGAATGTGTACCGGTGCATATTTGCCATAGTTGTTTTTTTTTTTTTCGTCGATGTGCAATGTGGTTTTTCCGAACCTGGAAAGCAGATGAAATATTTACGTTTTTTATTCAAGCGTGTTTTCCATTTCGAAAACTTATGAAATGGCCCAGCAGAACAATAATGAAGGGTACACAGATGGACTCTCTCAAAAACGAAATTCTAGGGACTAGAAGAAAAATTCGTTCTAGAGAGAATTTAATCCCTAAAACAAAATATGAGAGACAAGAAAAAAAAACGTTCCAGAGAGAATTTCTAATTTTTTGGAATTAGCGTGTCCCTCAAAAATGTTATGGGGTCCAAAAAGGTTGGAGAACACTGCTCTTCATGATCTAAGAAAACTTTTGCTAGTACAGAGAAAACTGTTGTAGACAAGACTGTTGGGGAGAGAGTCCACCTGTACTAAGTACTTCATGAATACGGTATATACAATTTTACCCTGAATAAAGAACTTTGACAACAATTTGTGCTTCCAAAAAGAAGTATCCTTCAAAAATTACAGTAAGAAATCTGACAGACTGCAAATTCAATTTTTTTATGATTGCCGGTAGATTATGATAATCTTTTGTGAGGGCTGCTCCTGTTTAAAATTAACTTCATTCATTCATTGACTTTTTGACATTTCTAGAGAAACTGGGATGGATGGATTAGCTCCCATTCTTTTCAATGAGCCTCAAGAAATGTCTATACTGTACCAACAACCAACTGGTAAAAGAATCCCATCACAAAAAAGTCGACTTTCATAATGTTTGCCTAATTAATCATCCAGCATAGAAACAAATTAAAGTCCCAACTACTTCACCATCAGTTGAAAATCAACCATGAGTGTCTCCGGAAGCTTCAACATACTAAGCCCAGTGGCGTCATCCACAAGGACAGTGTTGGCGCAGCAAAACCACTCAGATGGTGTGCAAAAACTCAAGTGTCTCAATGTTCTTCCCCGGTGTAGCTACAGGACGGGTTACGAGAATCTCAGCCATCTTGTCAAGAGAGCAAACAATTGGCTGCGACACCACAAGCAATGGGAGGTTTGCCAAATTTCAATCATGTTACTTTTCAACAACGTGATGGGATTTTACAGTCAAACCCTCTCTTAGGCCAAACTTCAAGGGACAGTAAAAAAAAATCTGAGTTAGGAAAGTTTCTGATTGGGAAAAAGAGCTTTTTTGAGTGAGGGGAGAAAGAAGATCCATTGTAAATTGTAATTGGTGGTATCCTGAGCCTTAAATTGCTTCTTGAATTAAATTGACAGCAAGATGCCGAACTTGGAGGCAAAAGGTTCATTTGCCCTATTATTAATCTTTCACTTCTTTGCAAAACACATCAAGTTACATTTTTATTTTTCCTGTGTCAATAAAATGATGGCAAAAAGTCAAAATTTTGCTGTTCCTTTGAAGTTCAACTTGAAAGAAGTTCTACTGTAATTAGGTCCACATATAACAGCTAAGCAGGCAGCACTGAATTACACAAGCTTCTGATGTCAGCACAATATTTATAAATACTGCAAATCAGTGTTTCCCAACCTTTTTGGGCCCTTTTGGACTGGCCAAGTTCCATGATATTTCTTGCAGACCAGTGACATTTCTGCAGATTCAGAAAAGTTTTATTTGAATAAGGACTTCATGACAAGTTTCAATGAAGTTTCTACTTTTTTGCAAAAAAGAAGTCAAGAATAAATAAAGCAGTGCCTTTGGAATGTCTCCAAAAGTTAGAAAGGTGGTACAATATTGAAGAGAGTTTTCTCAGAATGAAAAAATTAAAAGTAATTTCTTTTAGCAGGTGAAAATTTGTCTGCAGTGGTATTTGGAGAAAAGGCAACTTTTCTTTTTCATCAAATGTTATCAACTGCTACTGTCTTTCTGAAATTTCAGAAAAATAAACAGACTTCACTTCATTGCTATACTTTTGATGAATTCATTATATGCTGAAGAAAATTTCCCGTGGACCAGCAAAAAAAGAAGATGAATTCTGCGGACCAGACCACTTTTTTGAAAGTTTAAAAAATCATTAATACAGTACTTTTCTCCACTCACCACCACTTCATCTGCTGATGGCTATGCCGTGGCAACAACCCTTTACACAATGTCGCTCGTGTTTCTGCGGTCGCAATCAATTTTTGCAAAAGGTGCGGACGTGCGAGAGTCTTCCGCTGCAGACGAAAGCCGGCCGGAACAAAATTGCCGGGCCCGTGACCTTGACCCAGCTGAGCCGAATGCGACGCTCCGCCCCCGACACGTGCTTGGCCAACCACGTGACTTTCCTCCGGCTCTGGGTCATCAAGTGCGACAGGCCTCGGGTCCACAGCCACAAGATCGTCGTCCACACCGTCTTGCCGAAGCCCATCCTCGGAGGTGGTGTGATGACAGATACGATGACGACAACATCTATTCTGCAAACAAAATACGATTAAATATATGTACAGTATATATTTTTTATGGAAACCATACACGAATTTCTTTCAGTCTGCAGTTTTAATCCAGCAATTGAAAAACAAATTTAAACAAAATAATACAACCTCCAGCAGATCTTCAATTTAAAATTTTTAAAAATTCTTATATCCCTTCTGCAGTGGAGCTGTATTTGCAAAATTGTGTGCAAAAAAGCACACGAACAGGATAAAAACCTAGTCTGACTAGCAGAGTCTAATCTGAAAAAATCCTATGAATGTTTTTTCAATTCTTGTTCCGCAAAATGTTCATGGAAAAAGATATTATTCACTGCTGGTTAAAATTTATTTCTGCAGCCCTGCCACAGTATCAGTATTGGGGGATTCAGAAAACAATAGCTTTCACATTCTGGATTTATCCAGACTTTGGCTAGCCAAGGTTGAATTTCAGTGACCTTCAGTCAAAGTAAACTATATGACTGGATGCAAAAAATATCCTGGCACTGCCACAGAATGGAAATCCATTCCGGTCTTATATTTTTGCACAAAAAAGTTCTTCTTCCTTTTTTCTTTCCCCCAACATAGCAAAAATAATTTTCATCCTTGATTCCACCTTATGTCCCAAGAACCAGTCACAGTCACACTTTGAATGGGAAATTTGAGACTGCACCTGCCTTCATTGGGGATTTTTCATTAAGAAATCACGACATGTTCCTTAAAAAAGTTTGTTATACTGTACTGGAATTGATGATTTTGTTGAAACAAGATTTTTATAACATGTATCCTATATAGGATTGCTGTCATGACTTTGAAAAATGTTCGTTATACTGAAGAATTTTTGTTGTAAGGGTATTTGTTGCAATGAGATTTCACTGAATACAGCATTTATATTCTACACATATTTTTTTTATTTCATTATTTTAATTTTTGTTTACCCTTTATTATTTTATTTATAATGTTTCATTACATGATTTTTCACGGCGTACTATATTTCAGCCGACGGTCGGCTGGAGTTCACAGACTTGGAAACCCTGCTGACGGACGTCAACTCCACCCTGGAACACACGTGGCCGTCCAATTTCGAAATCCTCACGGTGGAGACGTTGCAGACGACGTTCGACCGACGGCCGGACGACTCTTCCGAGGCCACTCTGCTCACCATGGGCCTCCGCATCTTCGTCGGCTTCCTCCTCGGCAGCCACGAAGACGAGGAAGAAGCGGGAGGAGGAGAAGACGGCAGCGGAAACAACGGCCACGAGATGTCGCACGTCATCTGCGAGGCCATCGGACTGGCCGACTTTGCGCCTCGGAAACGACCCGACGGCACTTTCGAAACGTTCAGCGATCTGGTGCTGCGGGCGTCGAGAAAGTGTTCGTCTAGGTGAACAAACAAAAATATACATAATTATATAATTAAGGACATTCAACATTTTTTCGGATCATTGTTATTTTTAAAAAAATCGTGTAGAAGACGAGCCATGATGATGTTGATGAGAAATGAAGTGAAAGTGAACGAAGTGGGTAAATAAAAAAATGTAGACAAATTTTCAAACGCATCAGTTCCTCTCAAGCCTTTCCTGTTTAGCAATTGCGTCGTAAAAATGCCAAAATCCAACATTCCCCATTTTAATGTTTAATTCAAAATAATCATTCAATGCTAAAAGGATGGAATGCTAATATATTTCATTGTTTCAGTTTTATTTGATTTTTATTGCTGTTTTATTTTGCTGGGATTTACATCAACTGGAAAAGAGTTTGAAGGAAATTTGAATATCCATTCGACTTGATTTCTTCAAACTTATACTATTCTTATAATTCATCTGAGTTTCTCATCACATTTTTAACCTTGCTGGCACACGGAGTTTGGAAAGTAAATTCTGTGTACATTTCCTTTCCCCTTTTCGTTTGACAAAAAAAAAAAAAAAAAGTCGGACAC